ATGTTTCTTCCTTACGAAAAGACCAACCTCTAAACCTTCCAAACCCAGTCTTGAATCCATGCTCACAAACACAGACAACATCCTCATCCACTTACCAACCAAATTCTTCTGTTCCTCCTGCTTCCACTTCAACAGCTTATCCTTCCTATGCTGCTGCTGCACAAACAAACCTTCCCTCGGCTTCTTCTTCCTCCAAACAATCTAATATCCTTGAGACCATTGTGCTCACTGCTGTCTACTGTCACAAAGCATTTAAAAGTGCCAACTATCCCACGATGCTGAATGATCTTTTAAAAGCCAACAATTTTGACCCCATCATTTTCCCTCCTGATTTCTTTCTTCCCAAGGAACTTTTTCCCAACACTTCTCTCTCCACTCCAGAAACTCCTCTTCATGCTTCTACTCAGGCAGACCCTTCTCTTCCCTCCCATATGCCATAATCCTTTCCTTCTAATCCTTCCACCAGTTCTGGCTCCAGCACAAAAAGATGTCAATCTCGTTCTACCTCTACTCGTCCTTCTCGTTCTCCTATCCACAAGTCTCGATCTCCTACTATGAAACAAAATTATACTGACTCTCCCAAATTCAACGATTGTTTGGATACAGTTCAGTACTTAATAAATCAACCCTCGTCCTCTCCCTCTCGCCCCAACTCATCCTCTCGTCCTACCTCTACATCTCGTCCCACCTCCTCCTCCCGCCCCCTCTCATCTTCCCCTCCCCATCCTGAATCCAGAAACCGTAAAACACAACCGATCAAATATAGATCAGGTGATGGTACACACATGATGGGTTACCAAGACAACCATAAGAAAGACTTACATTTCCCACCCTCAAGTAACCCCAACCATGGCCCTTAAGGTTATTCAATTTAACATACGAGTTTATAACGCAAACAAACACATTCTTGCTGACCTCGTTGAATCTGAACAACCAGACGTGTTGTTATTAAACAGCACGTGTGTGCGTGATGATCAACGTGTCAGACACTTAGGATATACAGCCCGTCAATCCCCTGCTGAAAACTGGAATGGCGTAGCTATTCTTGTTAAAGGCACCATTAAACATGAGTTCTTATCCCTTCCATTTACATATTCTCACAGCATGGCTGTGAAAATTTACACGATACACGGACCCATCATCCTCTACACGACATATACCAGACCCAATCAAAACATTAACATTCATGATTTAACCATTCTTTTTAATCACACACATCTCCCTGTATACCTACTTGCCGACCTCAATGCCAAACACACTGACTTCCATGACAACTCCACAAATTTGCATGGTAGGCAACTTCATACACTTGTAACACAGAAACATCTCATACACCTCGGACCTTACTTCCCAACAGTCTATACATACAATGGCCAAGGCACCCCTGATAAAATTTTTACAAACAGAGCTAGTAATCACTTACATCACTACACAACACCAGGACCGCTCTCTGGATCTGACCACATTCCTGTCATTTTCCATATTTCCTCAAATCCCATACTCATTCCAGTTCGCCCCTCTCCAGCTTACTCTCAGGCGGATTGGGATCTGTTCAAACAACGCCTAAACACTCTTGATCTCACACACAACTATGACAATAGGCCAGTATCAGACATAGACACACAAATTCAACGAATTCAACAATCAATTACCCAAGCCGCTACAGAGGTTGTTCCCATGACACACCACAAAGTACGTTACTCTTTCCGCCCATCAGAAAGAACAAAAAGACTGCTCACATGTTGCAGACACCGTTTCCTAGGAAACCAAAACAGACTAAATATCATCCGATGGGACCTCACTATTTTACGTACACATATCATCCATAGCCTAGATGATGACCATGACCGACATTGGCAATCGATTATAAACACAACAGATGTCCAGCGTACAAGAGATCCCAAAGCATTCTGGTCATCCATTCGGAGACTTACAGGCACCCCTCGATCCACAAGTTTTAGACACATAAATCACAACAACAGACAGATCTCTGACCCTGCTGAAGCTGTATATATTTTCAAAGACATATGGGAAAACATCTTCCACCCACATCTACCAGACCAAGCTGTCATAGCACATACATTAGACATAGAGAGATGGGTATCCAATCATGAAGACTTAACCAGTCCTGATCCAATCATAAGCCTAAACACCCTATCTTCCACGCATCCTCTAAGCTCTCCTTTTACTGTAGATGATCACTCTTTACTAGCAAAAAAAAAAACTCCAGGTGCTTCAGGTCTATCACATTCAGTCCTTCGTCACCATCCACATTCTGTTGCTTCCGCTATCACTGACCTCTTTAATGCTTCCCTTGCATCTGGCTATTTCCCTCCATTCTATAAATCTGCTACTGCATGCCTCATACCAAAACCTGGAAAAGACTTGACTGACCCCAAGAACTATAGACCTTGAAATTTTGGGTAAGACCTTTGAACGACTTGTAAATATGCGACTCAGGACTCACCTAGAGACAAATAGCTTGCTTACTGAAAGACAA